TTTGGAAAATATAATTTACAGAATATTCTGCAAGGGTATATCAACTTCGGCTCCGCCCGAAGTTAGCTTTCCTTTCTTGTTTTTTGCTGTTTTTATACCCTTGCAGAGGGTATTATAATTTCAGTCAAAAGTTTGCAACGCAGTGAAGGAGACATTTCCGACCCTATAAAGTATATATATTCTTGATCAGGATCACCTCCTGAGTTGATATAGCCATGTCCGTCTGTCCATCTGTCCGTCTGTCCGTCCGTCTGTCCGTCCGTCCGTCCGTTTCTACGCAAACTAGTCCCTCAGTTTTAAAGCTATCTGCTTGAAACTTTCCCAAAAGTTGTCTTTTTATTGCAGGTAGTATATAAGTCGGAACGAGCCGGATCGGGCAACTATATCATATAGCTGCCATATAACTGAACGATCGGAAAAGCCATAACTTTGGTGTTTTTAAAGTTAGGAAGAAGGGATTTTCTATGAGCTTTATTTTTGGCCAATTAATCCGACCTACTGAATTTCATAAGGATCGGACGACTATATCCTATAGCCGCCATATAACTGATTGATCGGAAGTGCCATAACTTTGGTGTTTGTAAAGTTAGGAAGTTAGGATTTTCTATGGGTTTTATTTTTGGCCAATCAATCCGACCTACCAAATTTCATAAGGATCGGCCGACTATATCTTATAGCTGCCATATAACTGAACGATTGGAAATGACATAACTTTGGTGTTTTTAAAGTTAGGAAGTTGGGACTTTTTATGAGTATTAAGAATGCATCATATGAATAATTTGGGAGAATATAATTTATAGAATATTCTGCAAGGGTATATCAACTTCGGCTCCGCCCGAAGTTAGCTTTCCTTTCTTGTTTTCTTTTTTATTAAATTTTACTTGTATTATATGTATAAAACAAACTTAAAACAAGAGAGAATGCTATAGTCGGGTGCCCCGACTATCAGATACCCGTTACTCAGGTAAAGGGAGTGCGAGGGAGATGGAGATAGAAATTTTGATCACGCATAACTTTTTAACGAATGGTCCCATTTGAAAATTTTCTTCTACATTTCGATAGGTATTGATAAACTCAATAAAACTGCATTTTTACTTTTCCGAAATATTTAAATTTTTAAAATCGTATATAAGCGATTGTGGGCGTTAAAGGGGGCATGGCACCTTTTTGAAATAAACTTGCGCTGCGTAGGAACTCCTAGAATCTGCATGCAAAATGCCAATCTTCTAGCTTTTATAGTTTCCGAGATCTCAGCGTTCATACGGACAGACAGACAGACAGACAGACGGGCAGACAGACGGACAGACGGACAGACGGACATGGCTATATCGACTCGGCTAGTGACCCTGATCAAGAATATATATACTTTATAGGGTCGGAAACGCTTCCTTCTAGCTGTTACATACTTTTGCACGAATACAATATACCCTTTTACTCTACGAGTAACGGGTATAAAAAGTGTAGTTTTCAGTCCCAGACGAGAACTAAATTCAACAATGATTAATGTGAATTTAAACAAAATCAATAGACTAAGAGGCCAATTTCATTGATATGGATATTTGCATCCCAATGATATAGCTCGATTTGCAGTCACTTATCGGCGTTATGACTCAATCTGGCATTAACTGAAGAGCCATCGAATTCGATGGCAAGGTAAATGATCTGACAGCTGTTCGCAGTGGAGTGGGACTAGCATTAGATGTAATTATCGAGATCTTTGGCTGAAAGGGAACAGTAGCCAGCAGATTCATTAATCAAATCTCGCATTGCAGGGGCCCTGACTCTGACTCTGACTCTGACTCAAATTCAGACTGCGTCGATGCTATCGATATTGATGGCACCGCCTGGTGCATAATAAACTCTGACGTGGGGAATGACGGGTTGCGAATTCCCAATGGCGCGACTCGAGTTCTGGCCAAAAGTGCGCGGGTGTTGGCATTACTGGCTCACGATGCTACCAAAATGGCTCGCATTGCGGCCAAGGATGAGGCTGATCATCTGTATTTGCACGAACCAGCTTAGAATGCGAATGGGACGAGGAATTGGGCAGCTAAAAGAGCTGAGGCCAAGTAGCATCTGAAGCCATGCAAATCGCTGTGCGAACTTGCGATAGTTTGGTTGGTCGATTGTTCAATTTTCATTGGGCTGGCCGACCTCGGGCTGCAACATAGCTTGGCTCCAATTAGCCGGAGCATTAATCATACGCCTCGTTGGCCCGGCTAGTTCATAATTATCTCTGCAAGCGGCGGCTGATCTTAATATGGCTATCATTTCGAAATACTTGACCCGAGCTTTGCTAATGATATATCATTTATATTCGAACCAAGGAAAACTGGAGTAAATTACTCATTTATTGCCAATCTGAAAGGATCAATCACATACATAATTGACTCTACATAAAGGATTACTTTGTAACTCCATATAAGCCTTACATTTTTCACTGTGGAGTGCAATCCACGTGGTGACGAATCGCATTCAGTGACTTCTACATATATCGGCGCAGAACTAAAAAAATATGCCGGAACAGTCCGATAAGATTTAAATGTTTAGTTTTAAATTTATTGCTAAACTGTTTAAATTCTCATAGTCCAAGGGAAAAAATGTTATAAAGACAATTTAAGTAGTGGAGTCCGGCGAAGAAAAAGGAATTTTTTTTAATTTTTTAAATTTTTTTTCAAATGTGATACTTTGTTCAAAATAATATTAATTTTGCAGGTTTTTAGTCCATTTTCAAATTAGAATAAATAGGTCTGTTTTTATACCCTTGCAGAGGGTTTTATAATTTTGGTCAAAAGTGTGCAACGCAGTGAAGGAGACATCTCCGACCCTATAAAGTATATATATTCTTGATCAGGATCACCTCCTGAGTTGATATAGCCATGTCCGTCTGTCCGTCTGTCCGTCTGTCTGTCCGTCTGTCTGTCCGTCTGTCTGTCCGTCTGTCTGTATCTACGCGAACTAGTCTCTCAGTTTTAAAGATATCGAATTGAAACTTTGCACACACCCTTCTTTCCTTTGCACGCAGTATATAAGTCGGAACGGCCGGGATCGGCCGACTATATCCTATAGCTGCCATATAACTGATTGATCGGAAATGCAATAACTTTGGTGTTTGTAAAGTTAGGAAGCTGGAATTTCCTATGGGTTTTATATTTGGCCAATCAATCCGACCTACCAAATTTCATAAGGATCGGCCGACTATATCCTATAGCCGCCATATAACTGATTGATCGGAAATGCCATAACTTTGGTGTTTGTAAAGTTAGAAAGTTGGGATTTTCTATGGGTTTTATTTTTGGCCAATCAATCCGACGTACCAAATTTCATACGGATCGGCCGACTATATCTTATAGCTGCCATATAACTGAACGATTGGAAATGTCATAACTTTGGTGTTTGTAAAGTTAGAAAGTTAGGATTTTCTATGGGTTTTATATTTGGCCAATTAATCCGACCAACCAAATTTCATAAGGATTGGCCGACTATATCTTATAGCTGCCATATAACTGATTGATCGGGAATGCCATAACTTTGGTGTTTGTTAAGTTAGGAAGTTGGGACTTTCTATGGGTTTTATTTTTGCCCAATCAATCCGACATTTCAAATTTCATAAGGATCGGCAGACTATATTCTATAGCTGCCATATAACTGAACGATTGGAAATGCCATAACTTTGGTGTTTTTAAAGTTAGGAAGTTGGGATTTCTTATGAGTATTAAGAATGCATCATATGAATAATTTTGGAGAATATAATTTGCAGAATATTCTGCAAGGGTATTTCAACTTCGGCTCCGCCCGAAGTTAACTTTCCTTTCTTGTTATGTTTGCTTTTGTGCAAATATTTCGGTGGTTTTCCCAAAACCGGCCTCAACGGGAATATTAAGCCCTTAAGATTTTTTAACTCTTGACCTATAACACATGAGCAGTAATCATAGAATTCTAAAATTATTCGACATAGCTGTTTCTTACGAATAGTAAAAAACTAACATTTTATATAATTTTAACATTCTGCACGATTTTAGGGAAAACATCTGTATACATAGGGATGAAGACAAAAAAATGTAATTAAGCACCGGAATGAAAATAATTTAAGAAAATATAGTAATTTTTTGTCACAAAATTGTATATACAAAAATCGAATATCTTCACGACTTCCTTATTTTATTATAGGTATTTTTAAAATTTAATTTTTCTGTTTGAGTAATTTTGTGATCGGAAGTGAATTTCGTTGGTATAGAATCACATTGAAATGCATATCGAATTAAATTATCGTTAATTAATTCACTCGTTAAGGAGTGAATTGAATCGTGGAATTATTGTGCGATTGCATGACTCTCAGCTACACTAAAGTGAATGCTCATCCACGAAATTATCTATGGAATTAAATATTTATTGACATTAAAATGCAAGAAACTTTAATTGTAAGTTTTTTCATACAGATGTTGAATTAGTTACAGTTCCCGTGAATATAGTATTTTAAATGGTAATAAGAAATTTCTAAGAAGGTCTGAAATATCTATTCATTAAAATCTTTTTTAAAAAACTTAATTTTAGTTAAATCCATTAAAATATATTTTAATAAAACTGATGATGGGGGCAAACATCGAACAGCGGTTTTTAGAGTTGTATAAAAAAAAAACCTCCTGTTAACAGATTTATTTTGGACTCCTTCGAAAACTATTTGGTTTTGTTTTGTATTTTATTCTCTTAATAACTCTAAATAAGTTTAAAAATCACGTTAGTCGACAAAAAACTCGGTACTATCTTAACTTTTAGTTATCAATTTGTAATTAATGAAGTTGTAAGTGCAGGAAGTAAAAAAAACCTGGTCAAAATACAAACAAAATCAAACAACAACCAATAACTAAATAAAACATAGGTTTGAACAATAGAGGCAACTAGCTTCTCGCCTCGTCCCATCTAGTATTTTCCTTGTTAAACTAAATGCCTTCCCTGCAGGCATGGATAAACCGTCTTTTGCAGACCTCCCCGATACTCACATAGGACAGACTGGGCTGGGCACTGCTGATGACCAGTTCGCCTCCATTGCGCTGCTTTCCGAGGAGTGACTGATGGAGCCGGTTGGTGCCGTAGTACATCTCCCAGATGCTGGGCTTCTTGCGGTGCCACTCGGCGATGCTCTCTTTTTCCCGTTCCTGCTCTCGATCCCGTTCCCGATCTGCCTTATCCACTCCAGCTGCAGCGTAGCCTGCGGTCATATTTCCGCCTCCCTGGCTGCAACTGGCCACCGCCAGGATGGGTTTATGGAAGGTGAGGTTCCGCTGCATTTGCGTCACGACCGTGGTCGTGGTCAGGCCGGGATGCGGGGCCTCCAGCTCCAGCTGCGGGGTGGAGGCGGGCGAGGGCGTAGCACTGCGAGACAGACTGGTGGTGGTCACCTCCGATTCCACATAGCACTCGGCGGCGGGGAAGATCTCCGCTATGGACTTGCGCTTCATCTTGAAGTTGGGGTCGCTGGCACACCGGATGGTCATGATCTGCTCGCGGACGCTGAGCGGTCGGCCGCTGGCGGAGATCAGCACTCCGTCGCGAACCGCTTCGTAGGCGTTCAGCTGCAGGTCGGCGCAACTGCGTCTCCGCTCCAGGGCGTTCTGCAGCCGGACCACGTGCTGCTGGCGGCCCAGGCCGCTGCACAGCTGGCGCAGCTCCTGCTCACTGTGCTGGTTCATTCGCTGCAGGTAGGACTCCAGCTCGTGCTTCAGCGTGTGGATCATGCCCTCCAGCTCCTTGGGCACGTCGGAGGGCGGGGTGTGGGCGGGCGTGGGCGTGGCCGAGGGCGGCGGAGTGGCACGCGAGAGGAGGCGTATCTTATCACGGACATCCTCCAGCAGCTCCCGAGTGTTTTGAAAATGCAGCTGGTCCTCGTAGCGCTTGGCGAAGCTCTTCTCCGCCACGCCCACTCCAGCGCCGCCCCTCTCGCTCTCCAGGCGATAGGCGTCCTCGGGACAGGAGTTGATGTACTTGGCGCACTTGTAGTTGTTCTCAGCCAGCTGTTCATCGTTCAGGAAGCTGGGATTGTCGATGCCCCGGTGCTCCGCGTTGGACGCGAGCAGAAAGGCATCTAGGTCGATGTCCAGCAAAGAGTCATCCACCAGCTGCTCCTGCTGCTGCTGTTGCTGCTCCATGATGGTGGGCAGCTGGTTGTAGGCCCTCAGTTTCTCCCCAATGTCCAGGGCGTGGGATGGGACTTCGATGGGATGGGTTCTTCCTCCGGCTGCCTGCATGAAGCCCACGATATGCTCCTGGGCGTACAGGCAGGGAAAGGTCTTCAGGTGGCGGTCCAGGTTCTCGATGCTCGTCTCCAGGATGCGCAGCTTGTCGCTGTAGTGGTGCAGCCCCTCCGCCGTCTCGCTCGCAAACTGACTCGGACGGTCGCTTGGGGCAGCTCCGGCTGCATCTTGCATCTCCGAGCGCTGACTCTTCACTGCCGACGACTTTTCAGCGGAGGCCGTGGCTTCTGGTGGCTCCACCTCCGAGGCCACCTCCTGCGGAGCCCCCACTTTCGCTGGCAGCTGGAGCGGCGGTCTCTGGCGCTGCCTGGCGGCCACACTCTTGATCTTCTCCTGGACATCGATGACCGGTTCGCAGTAGATGTGCTCGTCCAGCGAGTAAGTGGAGCACACATTGGAGCTGTAATAACCGGACGAGCCGCTTTTGTCCGTCGAATAGTGTGAGCCACTGCCACCGCCACCGCCACCGCCCCCCGCCGTCTCAGCCGCCTGTTTCGCTGCTGCAGCAGATGTTGCTGCCGTCGCAGATGTTGCCGCTGCGACTGGCAGTCCGGAATCCGCGGAATGCGTGCTGCTGACATTGGAGGCAATCGAGCACTTCTTGCTGCGCTCCCCCACGCCGGCGGACACCTCCAGCTGTTGGTCGTGACCAATCGGATCCCCCGTTCCGCCGCCCAGTGCATTCCTCGATGGCATTGGAGCGGCTGCCGTCGACGTGGATGTGGACGATGGCGACGCTGATGTTGTCGCAGTGCTGCAAGGAGAGCGGAAAAGAGGGAAAGAGCTGTGAAAATCTGTGGAAAAACACTCGGACGAAAGGGAAACCTGCCGTTGGAAAGCGGTTTCTGTTGGTTTCTCGCAATTGCCGTTTTGTTTATGCGTCGCCAACTGGGAAATGGTCAAAGCACCATGGGCAAAAAGTACGCTTTTTTGGCATTAGGTGCTTTAAATTAAACTGTTTAAAAACTTTATTTTAATTCCATTGGCTTGCTCCTCGGTAAAATATTTTAAATTCCTTTTCACTCCTGGACTGAATTAGCTTATTTCTGATGCATTAACTGAACTTAATATCTGTTGTAAAAACACTCACTGAAATAAACTCATTTAAAATGTATTTTGTGCCCATAGTGTAGGCGCTGTAAAACTTCACAGCCGAAAGCGAAAACTGGTTAACTGGGTTAGTGACTTTGTTTACGTTTTCCTTTTTTCTCGGCCAACTGACATGCAAATGTTGAAAAAATATTGAATTGGGATTCCCCATAGAATATCTCCCGGATGTCCAGAAGATGTTTAATTTGTGCAATCACATTTGGTTCTTTTTGTACTGCACAACCAAACATATGACCGCGCGATTTAGAAATTCAGCATCAACATACGAATTCGATTTAAATTCAAATAAACTTGTTCTAAACAGGATTTCGGCTTCGGTTACTTTTGCAATTCGTTTAGCCTTCGGTTTGTTTGATTTTTGTCTGTATTTCGCTTCTATTTTCCTGCCTAACTGTAAAGTTCGGCCTGCAAGTGAAGTCCACAGCTTTGAGTCACTTTTGGCCAAATTTTTGCTTTTCTCTGTTAGCGTGTGTGTCTACGTTTGTGCCAACTTTTTGGTGAACCATGAAATTCGGCGGTGCCTGATGACTTGGGGAGCAAAGGAACCAGCTCTTCGGGCCTGCAAGAGGTGGGTTGGTTGGTAAGTGCAGCGAAATGAAATGGAAACTTAATTGAATGGAACGGAGGCTTCCCTCTGTGGAGGGCACTAAACTTCTCCGAACGCTTTACAGATGGCTACCGACTGTTTTTGAGGAAATTTATGGGGTCACTTTTCTCAGTTTTTGTGGTTATCTTTGAGATTCATGGTTGCAGAGGCAAATAAAGTTGATTTTCTCCCACTCAAAGTCCTCTAACACAAAGTCTTTGTAACAGCTTTATTTGTACTCTGCGAGTAGAAAAGCATTGCGAATATTCAATGTTCTGTAAATATAAAACTCTTTTTATGAAATTTTGGTCCGTTTCATGTAATTGGTTTATTATATCATCATCTGAAACATTAGGTCGATTGAACTCATTGTGTGTTCTCGTTTCACTTTTAGTCGTGTGTCTGAAATACTGATCTGAGCTACCTATGCTTAGACGTATTTATTTACACCTTGTGGGTATTTTTATGGTTCACTATACTAAACTTTCAATTTAATCATTAATCATAAGTCATAATTATATTAAAATGGCTTTCTGTAATTTAAAAGAAAACTAACCAGATTTAAAAAGCAGTGGTTTTGGTCGTGTCCCAATCTTTTGAGAAACTTACTTTCTTAAATGTTTTAATTAGTATTACCTGAACTTGGCTCCTATCGTGGCTATCACTTTCAATTAGTCAGTATTAGTTATACAAAATTAACTGGTCCCCTAAGAATTTATATATCGTAAATGCCTTACTGATTGATTGCTCCTTCACGAAAGCATTATTATTCAGAATTCTAATCGCCCGGCACTCGCATTTTCTTTGGGGCAGATTTGCATTTTTGACCGCCGGCGCCAGTGGCATTGCTTTAATAACTCACTTACGATCGGTTACAAGTCCGAGATTTGGTTCTGTGTGCACTCGGCGGTTGGCACTAGGTCAACGCTGGCTTTTGGCCAAACGGAATGAGTGCCGAAAGTTGCGCAATAACGGTGGTTGCTACCAGATATTGTTGCTTTTCGGGCTGTTCTTGTATGGTAAGTCGGTGCGTTACGCACCCAAAAATTGATAAGTTGCGGTCAGCGGCGACGTTGACTGGCGAGTGTTACTCAGTTTTTTGTTTTTGGTGGCATGGCTACCGATGCGTAGTGGCAACAGCCGTAGATATCGCACCAACAGAAGCGACAAGGTTGCCTTTTGGCTCATGAAGCATTTTGCAATCTTGGGGTATATGTTTATTTTGTTTGTTCGAACTGTGTTAATTAAAATGTTCAGCCTCGTTTGCATGCACGGAACACTGGTGGACCGGCGGACAAGCGGATTTGGCGGACGAGCGGACAAGCGGACGAGCGGACACACGGACGGTTATTACAGACCGTTAGTAAACAATCTCGTGTGGCCGCTAATTGTTGTTGACTGCTTGCCAAGACAAATTACAGGCGACTGGAAATTCGGCACCTAAGTCGCGATCTGGCCCCGTCTATCAATTGCAAATCAATCAATGGGCCAGCGCGTTTTTATTGCAGCGATTATATCGCTGATTTCGCACATGCTTAACGCTCAAGATGGATGTGATGTCTCTGGTCGGTTGGATTGGCTAAATGCCGACCTTGGCATAAGCCAGAGGTATACTTGGCCTAGGCGGTCTCAAAAATTGAATACAAATTAGCGACGAGTATCAACAATTGATCGCCGTCTAACTGCACTGATGGGGGCTAATGGGACAAAGGGGTCGCATTTGGCCAAGGTCGCTTTGGAAGAGCTACTGTGCGAAATCCCCTCCCCTCGCGTTTCAGTTAGCATGCGTGAGCAGTTAACGCAAAATAGGTGTAGTTCCAACGTGGGCTGAATTGCAAAGCGATTTGGGTTCGCTGAAGGGCGGGGGTTATGGCTTGGACCTTGACGGGGAATCAGCTCTTTCTTCCGCTGCGATTCGGTTGCTATTTGACAGCATATCTGCCGGATTATCCCATCGTGACATTCTGTCTTATGCAATGACCAAAATATTGGAAACAAGTTGCTAACTATCCGCCAATTAATTGAAATGGCTTTCAATACACAGCACGACTTAATGCATATGCATACCCCATATGTATATGTACGGATTCAAGTATTTATTTTGTGTTTTTGATAAATATTTCAAACCAAAACGGGCTCTCAGCTTTTGACCTTCGGGGATTCGAAGATCATGTGCTTCTGGTGGCTTCTTTAATTTCAATTAATAAACGTAATTGTTGCAGCTGTCTGCAGTTGCTGCTGCCGATGTTGCTGCCGCTGCGATGACCGCCGTCAAGTGTTTGCCGAGCTTCTCTAAAAACAACAACATACATGCACTTGTGTATTTATGTATATATGAAGAGAAAAAGAGGTGAAGGCTGACAACAGGCGCCAAAAACCGCATTGCTCGAAGCAGCAGCAACTGCAGCAGCAACTTGAACTTCGCTGCCACTGCAGACTTGATTTACATAGTTGCTGTGGCAGCAACAGGTTGCCCCATTGGCTGCGGCCGATCTCAGAACCATCTTTGGCAATCATAATCCTCATTTAGGGCAACACTCCGTCGTCGCTGATTGCTATCCGGCTTAATGCCGCGCTAATTGGCCCGCAACAACATAATAACAAAATATCGCTGGCTGCTGCTCAAGTGACTGCAACCGTAACGTGTTGCGTCCCTAATTGCGTTAACAACAAAAATGGGTTTCCGATCTGCTCCGGTCGTGCCTTTTCTTCGGTTTTCCCTCCCCTTCCGACTCCCCACCTCCAGAGTCAAGGTCGCTTGCAAAGCGCTGAAGGTCGCTGCGCGATGGGTATCGGATCCTAAGTGTTAAGGTATTTGGTGCACATTTTTCGGAAATTATACCTTGACTATAGGTAAACAAATGCATTGTGTTTTGTCACGTGGGCTTCCACAGAAATTTCTAGACTTTGTGTTCGACTATACGTGATTAGATATCCTTAACAATATATTTTTTTACATACAAAATTGGAAATTGGATTATTTAATTTGTTTTAGACAAGTAGATATGTAGAAAATCACACAATGAAAACTTTTTTTCTTTTTAAAGGAAGGGTGGGGCGAAACAGACCTCCATTGTATTTCTTTGATGGAGCTGTTGACCGAATTGGCTTAAAACAAAAGCTTTTTGTCTCGTTGTATTTGACAGAACAGCAGATTTATCCTTATTTTAAATATTTGCTTAACATAATTTCCTATTCATTTTTTACTCATAGATTCAGATCGAATTACTCGATGCATAGAGTATCAATTTTAGTCATAATAACGCAAAATAATAATTATTATATTAGTTAAGAAATATTTACTTTCAGTATCTTTGAATCCTTACCTTTGATACTTGAGCATGGCTCGTGGCAGTAGAAAGTTCTCGCTGCTGCCCTTAGGTTCCAAGTTGGTTGTCCCTCCTCCACTCGGGGCAGCTCCACTGGCCGCTTCTGGTGCTCCCGATCCGCCTGCACCACCTCCGCTCCGTGCAAAGAAGGCTCCCAGGCGTTGCAGATAGGCGAACTTAGTCGCCGCACCAGGATCGTTGGCCGCGGAGTAGCTCCGCGTGCTGCTGCTCCGGCTGCTGCTGCTCCCGTGCCTGCTTTGGCTCCTGCTCCTGCTCCTGGTCCTGTTCCGGCTCTGACCCGTGTGCCCCGCCCCGTCGTCCTCTTCGTCGTAGGGCAGCACCTCGATTGCATCGAAGTCGTAGGAGTTGAAGTAGGCCTGCTCCCGAGTTCGCTTCACCTGGGCGCCTTCCGTCACGTGGTCGGCGGATATGTCCGAGGCTGTTTTTTTGCTTGCCATGCCCGGTGAACTTTTGCAAATTGGCATTGTGGTCTGTGATAAACATAGGAATTTCATTTTATAAGATTAAGCACAAAAAATAATTGAAAAAATGTATTCATTATATACTTCGTCAAGCCGAAATTTATAAGCTTTTGCAGCTGTTACAAAAATTAAATATTCAATATTTTGATTTCGATACTTAAAAAATGCATCTTTGCCGATTTTCTTAAGTGTATCATATACAGTCGTCGGAATTTAAAATAAATAAAACCGTTATTCTGAAGTCGTCAAAAATAAACATATTTTTGAGTTTAGGGGTATATGTTAATAAACAACGAAGTAATAATTTTATTTTAATTTTTTTTCCCGATTGTTCCTATGGAAGCTATTTGATATATTAGGACGATTCGGCCTGTTCCGACTTATATACTACCTACAACAAAAAGTCTTTTTGCTAAGTCTTATCCAAATAGCGGACATGGCTTCATCGACTCGCCTGTTTATGCTGATCAAGCATATATATACTTTATAGGAAACGAGCATTTTAATGCGTTGCTTTTAATACCCTCTGCAAGGGTATACAATACTTATTGATTTGTAATGAATGATTTTGGGTAAGAATGGAAAATATCAATTAAGGAAGTTTAAATTTTTGAAATAACTTTGTTTTTGTTATAGAGCGTACTGTTTTTTCCAGCAACAAGAGCGGCAGCTTGCACAATTTCACGCTCTGGCGTTTACAGCTCTCTACCGGCGGCGCCTCCAATGCATCCGCTTTGGCCAACTGGAGCTGCAACTGGAAGTGGAACTGGTTTGGCGCTCGCAAAGAACCCACAGCCACTCGTGGCCACGTTGCAGTCGGGGTGGCGTTGATGCAACAGTTTTTGCCTCGCTCATGACTTTGCATTAATTAGCCAAAAAGGGTTTTGCGCAATTGCATAATTTTTCTGCAACGCGTGCTATCCCCTGGCCATAATTTATGGTAACGTGGCTAAATGCCAACCGATATCACACCCCCAAAGCGATGATGCACCCAAATGCATTTACGTAAAAGCCGCGTCTGGCTCGGATGGGCAGTTATGATCGATAGATAAGTGCACCGTGCTGACAGCCTCATCATCGCGGCCCAATGTTGCAGTGGATGTGGAGGGAGCTAGTTTGCCCATCGCCGTGGAATATGTTCCGTGCCATCGACAAAGAGCTGACGAGGCTGCAGTTTCTGCGGTTTCGGTCTCAGTCGCTGGAGTGGCAATCAGCAGTTTTTATGCCACACAGATTGCCGCGCTCGCAGAAAGCATTCGGTGATACAACCTATTCGCCAATAGCCAAAATTATTGCCTATCTATGCAAGTTTCCCAATGAACGCCCATTCCGCGTGGGTGTAAGCCGAAAGTACCACTTTAGCTTGTGGCCCATTTTCCTAGTTTCTGGTGTGCAATATCTGATTAGGGAAATTGTTTTTGTGCTAAGTCTGCTGATTGTATGGGACTCAAATGTAACTGTCTGAAATACCAAATGGAAAAAATGACCAAGAAATGACCCTTGACATTAATTTCCAAACTTAAAACAACTTATGAAAGTTGTCCATTAATTAAGAAGCATTAAAATATTGTGAAAATATGTTATTTACTCATTAGACAGGATAACAAAATAAGACTCTGTAAAAGGTGCAAAATAATGTTTATACAGACTAAGCAAATCTTTATACTCAGCTTCCGCTTTTAACGCAAGCTGTTTGTAATTTTGCTGATCATCGAAGTATTACACAGATACCATTTCGTTAGAAAACGTTACACACTATAATTTTAAACGTATAGTTCCAGAGAATACAATTATGACCCTATCGAATATGATGGGATTTCTCGATGACCTTGCGGTTGAGTTGGCCGCCATCACCTCACGGGGCTGATGAGGCGCCTCAATTGACGGATTTCTGTGCCAACAGCTGCTATAATCGCAGCGATAATAATGGTGGTGGATGGATCGCCGATCGTGTTACCATATGCCATACTGTTGCTGATGACATGCCACATGCACATGTGTGCCATGGTCAAGACGCAGTGACAAACGTACGAGCAGTGAGTTTTTCTAGTTCTGTTGGTGAAGTGACAACTCAAAGTGACTTTGTCGTCTTCCGAAGCTCTGACTATTTGCCGTCAGAACGCAATGGAAAACATAAAAAACAGTTGGCAACTTCAAACGCTCAGCTGATTTCCGTTGCCTCCACAAATCATGACATGTGTACCATATCTCAGCGATAGACCCATCAAATCGGAGCAGTCCATTGGATCGGAGGAGCTTTGGGTGAATGGAAGTCACACAATGTGGGCACAATGTAGCTACTCAAATGCAAATGTTGCACAAGTTTGGATAAAGAACGGGTACTCACTTCTTTGAAATACCGATTAAAAATACAATCGATTTTTGACGGGGTATTCTTCTGTTTGCTGCCCAAACAATCGACTGCTGAAGTGGCCGCCACTTGAGTGAGGGAATGCGAATAAAAATAATGGGCATGGAGACGTGAGGCTTTTATTTATAGTTTGCTCTTCAATCAGAACGCCTGCGGTGGCTTTTGATATTTTAATGAGTCAATTGGCCGAGCACGTCAAAGTGCCAGTCTAAAAACGGATTGGTATTATCGGAATCGGAATAAGATTCAGCGACTTAGTTTGAATGGGTTGCCAAGCGATGCCTCCGCCTTGACTTATTTGCCGTGAATTCATCATCGCGGACGGCCAAACAAAAGACTTAAGCGACAAACTCCGATTACCCAAGTCAAGCCACGCAAATCCGCAAAAGAAATCTCAACAAATGTTGCCGCTAAAAAAGCACAACAAAATCTGCATTGTTTTTCTGCCGCATTGCAAAATTGCGTTTTTGTTGCTAATTTACATCCCACCAGCAACAGACAACACGACAGCAGCAACTCGCAACATCGGCAACACCTTCTGCGGCAACTTCAAACTGCATTTGTATAAGCTATAAACAGAAAACAGGGCTTAAATGAGTTACCTAAAATGCCTACCGAGTTTATTTTTGGCCTGAAGAAGCAACAACTGCTTTTCCATTTTTAAATGTTCAATTTCAAAAGCTTCTTCTCCAAATGGATAGAAAATTACCAAATCAAACGGTTTACAAAGGTTAAAGATGTTTTAAAAACTAAGGCAAAAATAGATTTTTTTTAAATTTTATCTTCTTGTGTCAATGCTAAAAAACATAAAGAAAAAACAACATCAACCGAAGGTTTATAAATTTGTTAGGGATATTTTTGGATTACTCGTAGCATTGAACCACTAACCATACAACATGTATGGTATGGTTAGTGATTGAACTTAGCAAGATAAATTTCACTTTGACTACATTTTTTTAAAGATTTTTCAGAGCTTTCAGATTTAAATGAAGTGCATTAAAATTCATACCTGATATAAGTTAAAATTATTGAATAACTTATATAAGCTTTTGAAGAATAGCAACATTTTGGTCAAGTATTTGGTAGGTTAAAGGTCTTCTCTTGCTTTTTTGTTTGACTTGCAACACAAAGAGATTGCAGTAGAGCTGTTGGCAGACAATACCTTTAATTTTCCTTAGGTCAAACTGAATATCATTGTTTAAAAAAAGTACCAGTTAATCTTTTTAATGTGGAATAAAATAAAAGCTGTACAACGCTTAAAAATAAATTTGGCAAGACTTGCGTTCTGCACTAAGGGTGCCTTGAGGCCTAAGATATATTATTTTAAAATGTTTTACGCCCTCTTTCTCATTATGTCCGAGGCTGTTAAGCATTCCCCTCTCCACGTGGACAGGAGGTGGTGGCTTTTTGAGCGTTCACGGCTCGTTGCACCACCCACTCCACCCCACCAGCACCCCCACCCACCGCCCCGTCAACTGTCGCCGTTTGTCATTGAGGCTAGTGCCGCCGACTGACGCAAAACCTCTAATTAGTTGGTCTCAAAGAGACATTTTGCAACGATGATTACGGCGAGTTGGTGGCAATTAATGCGCCTGCACTGGCCACTGAACTGAACTCATAATTGCGTTTCAGCGTGATAAAAACGCAGTGGGTTAATGCTAATTGCAGACGCATTAGCCTGTTGTATATATTTCTCCTTTTTGTGTCGTTCTTGGAAGTCATCTAATTAGGGCCTCCGGTTCAGATCGGGGGATTTTAGAAAGCGTTCAACTAAAAGTCATATGAAGCGAAGAGCCTATAAGGAGGATTACAACCACAACTAGACTGAATTTTGTATTTTAACAGCGACATATTTTAGAGACAAATATAAGTATTGGTTTTCAAATAATTAAATAACGTTAACCAAGGCTAAATTGTGTTAAGTTTGTTGGTTCAGTACTTCACTTTTTGTGTGTAACAGAATATTTGCATCTGAAGTGTGAAGTTATTACAAGATAAAACCTTTGGTTTTTGCTAACTAAATATAATACAGAAAAGAAGATCTATAATCATTCGACTCGATTATTCATATATTCAGTAGCTGTAATAGTAGTAATTACCTCCGAAGCTTCTGCATCTAAAGTCATACTGTATTACTTAATATTTTATTTAAAATCTCTTACACAACGGCACTGGCTGATTGATTGTTGATTTCCCCGAGTCCCTTGGCCCGCCAGAGTGATATTATTAAATTGTGATTTATCCAAGTGTGAGCCATCAAATCAACGCGCATAAATTAGATAACCGCCGCCATCTCCCAGGTCCAAGTAAATAAGTTATAAAATTTAACGAGCATAATTAAGTGCAAGCTCCGGGAGTTGCCAGTGTCCGTTGGCCGGCTGGTCTTTTGGCCAATAAATCGCAACTGGCCAACGACTCGTGGTGCTGGCCAATCATTATGTAAATGGCTCGGAGCCACTTGGCCAGTTTCCGTGTGATTGTGTGCAGTTTCGATCGAACGGGGTCTATTAGAACGGTGGTTGCTCTGTTGACAATAGACGCTTCCGAGGGTCGTCAATTTATGCTAAGCCGAACCTTGCCCTTGAGGCCTCAAACACTTGGCGTAGTTCCGTTCATCATCGGATGCTCGAAGAAATCT